AGGAGGAGGGAAACCTTAGGAAAAACAACAACAGCAAAATACAGAATTAAGAATTGCTTGGGAAAATGTCCCCTGTGGCCTAAGGACAGTGTTCTATTACAGTCAGATACCATTAAAGGTTTAATAAAACAGAGAAATGGGTGGCGGTACATTTATAGTGGAGAGTTTAATTCTGACCTTTTGTATTTAGGCAATATTTTTCCAAGGCCAGGAATTAAATATAGGAGTGAGACACTTCTCAGTGTGACATGAGTATCCTTCTTCCCCTGAAGAAATAAATGTGAAAGATGAAAGCAGGAATGTGGAAATAAAAGTGTTATTTCCACACTTACAATGCCATCTAGCACTTGTTATCAAACTTGTGAAAATAACAAGATTTACTGTAATAGTTTACACTTGGCTAGTGAGGTATAAAATATCTTTATCTTGTAGCCATATAAACTATGGTTAAACTGTGCAGAAGATGATACATATGGAACAGTTTTTGTAGAATGCTTATGAATTTAAAAAGCATTAGGCATACAAGAAATAAGAATGGAACGTCCTTTTTAGTATATTTGTGGAATAGAATGAAAGTGAAAAGAATTATCCACAAGCTGAATTGCCTTAACTAGTTTAATTTTGGTCTAAAACAAAAGTTGAACTAGACTGAAGCTCTACTAAGCCTCTATTTACACTCCAGCATTCTCACTGATAATAGAGTTGGGACCCTAAAAGTGTGAATGGAAAATAATGTCCAATTAGCCTGACTACTTAGACTTGCAACAAAATCAACAAATATCTGCAATATTTGGTTTAAATATCTTTCTCAGCATCATTTTGCTTATGCTTGTTACATTAGGTAGCAAAAATTTCAAGGCTTGCTTTGTTTTACAGAGGATTACACAGAGATCTGAGGTGAGAGTATTCAGTCTTCCCTTTCAGAGACAGGTATATTGAAATTTCCCTTACAGATTTGGCAATTAGTGGTACAAAGACGAAGACGCAAACCAAAGAGCCGAAATAGGCCTGAACTGAAAAAGCATTGCAATTGAATTACCCTTCTGCCATTTCCCTGCTGTGCTAAACCCTACACGCTTACGAGATCTATCCTTCAAATGGAAAATCAAATGGAAAAACCTCAGTGCTCTGCTTTTGTTTTATACATCATGAAATATTGAACAAAAAGGAGGTCATAAGCCTTTTGGTTGACTTTATAGGTCTCTTGAGACTTCTTCAAGCTCTCTTCTTGATTGCTGCTGTACATCTGGAAAGAGAGGCAGCCAGAGACAAGATGGCAGGTGTAAGCTGCTCTTGGAGATGCGATTCATTTTCCTGCCCAGCATGCAAGACAAATACTTGCCTTTTTTTTTTTTCTTAAACAGAATGATAAGGAAACTTGCTGAGCCATGTCCTGGCCCCCAGAAGCCATTTCCAATTTCTTTTTTTTTTTCTGTAGATTTCAGCATGGCAGGGTCTCTCCCCATAAATTGAAATATGCATTTTTTTTTTGGAATGTATTGTTAGATGGGAAAAAATCATCGGTATTTATCAAGGAAAAAAAAAATTCACATACTCTGTGAAAGGAACTACACTTTATTTAATGCAGTGATTGCACATGTATAAAGACTAAAGCTTCATGAATGAAGTCTTTCAAAAATAGCATAGGTTAAGGTATAATGTACAATTTATTTAAAAATATCCATGTATAAAGCAATAGCAACCAAACTGCTTTAAACTTAATCACAATAAGCTTGCGAGAAATAGAGTTTAAAGCTAGAATTCTTTGTAGCAAGGTTACTAAATTTTATTAAAATCAGATTCTTTTTCTACAGATTACCACCAGATGGCAGTATAGGAGAGAAAAAGAAAACATTTTGCGAGGCCCATGCATGGCCAGGTACAATAACCATTTTTATTTTGGGGGGACTTGTACATTGCTAAATTATCAGTTTAGTGGTTTTTTTTACTTCCACCCCATTGTTACCAATAGGCCTGCATTGTTCTATATGAGAAAATTATCTATATTTCTACTCAATCCATTATTAATTTTACTACTCTTGAAACTTCTTTGGGAGGTGAAAAAATGTCTTTGAATCTGCATGGGGTGTGCTCTGATGTCCCTCAGAAGCGCTGTTAAGACTTTCAGGAGAGGAACTATTCCACTTTTCTTGGCCAGTGTGTGCCATGACACTAACCAATTCTGCAGTAGTTAAATCTCTAGGTTCAGTTCTTATCTCAGGTTCTTTTAAATCCTTGTGTTAATGACTGCTGCCAGCAATGCACCTCTCTGAATTGTACCTGCCTGCAAGGAAGAACGCTAAGGTGCTAGGCTACTGGATTCCCTCGTAGTTTTAAGTGTGCATTCGGGTAAAGGAGCATCCTCCCTTGCTGTGAAACGCTCCAGTCTGCACAGCCGCAGGGGCAAGAGGAAAGTGAGCACTCCAGCACATTGGTGTCTCCAATCCCACTTGGCTTGTCCCCTCTCTGCAGCACTGTCAGAGCTGTGATCCTGGTGCTCCTTGTCCTGTTGAGCTGCTTGGTGCTCTGCAGACCTGGTGGAGGGTAATTCTTAGGCCTTTCTGCCTGGTCTGACATCTGTAAGCCTTGTTTTATTGACAAGGTGCTCAAAATCCCTGAGAAACAAGGCAAGTATCTAAGAAAAGCTAACACAACAGAGACGTCGTTAAAAGCTGTAATCAAAAAGAAATCCCTGTTAGGAGGACTTGTCTAGAAACCAAAAGACAGCATCAAAGCATAGGTATCTCCTATATTTTTATTAGACTATTAAGTATATTGAAGTATGCAAATTGTGGCTGTTAATGGAGGAATTAAAAGGAGCAGCCAAAAGAGAGTAAGAAGTTTGCAGGTGGCATGCTGATTGCTTCAAGATACTGTACCAAAGACTAAAAGCAAACATTTACTGCTTATCAAGAAAGACTTTAAAAGGACCACACGCACACAGAAAGCTGGCATGATTGAACAGGAACGTTTTGACTGTCTTCAAAAAGTGGAAATTTTCTTCAAATGAGGAAAAGAGAAAAGCACACACACTCTTCCACATTAAATATAAGCTCTTTATAAAATGGGCCAAAATATTTTGAACAATAACTTCTTATAAGCATAAGAGTGAATAATAAAACTTTCTCTAAACACATCAGAAGCCTTAAATGTGCCAGACAGTTTATAGGCATGCTATAGCGTTTGGGATATAAAAGGAACATTTAAAGAAGATAAGCCCAGAGCAGAAAAGCTAAATGAATTTTTCACATTAATGTTCACCCTGGACAAGCTTAGGCAGGCTTCTGCAACAGAACCTTATTTATGGGGCCAAGTCAAAGAAATCATCTTAAATGGAAGTGTCAGAGAAGAAATTTCAGATTAGATAGAACCAAATGGTAACAAATCACTTAGATTAGATCAGATTCTCAAAACACTTCTAAAGGAAGTCTGATATATGTGACAAATTATTAACCATGATGTAACTCAGCTCTTAGATCTGCTGGTGCTCCAAAGGAATGGAATGTGGTGGCATTGAATTAAAATATAAAAAACAAAAATAAAAAAAGGAAAAGGAAAAGGAAAAAACAAAGGGATCTTAGGAATCACAGGACAATAAACCTTATCTCTGCACTGGGCAAACTGATACCAACTGTAATGAAAACCTGTCAGACTTACAGTTAACCATAACATAAAACAGGAGAGCTAATAAAGCTTTTCTAATGGAAAGTATGTGGCAGAGATGATCAGACTTCTTTAAAAGAATCAACACGCATATGAATGAGAATGGTCTAGTTTATATATTTTGTATGGGTTTTACAGCTGCAGAGTGTTCTCAGCAATAAATAGCAGAAGAATTTCAATGTCAAACAGAAAGTAATACCCATGGGGGGAGGGAAAGACTTATTGTAAGTCTGAGTACAGTTCTCAATAAGTCCTAACTACAGAAGGAGACCTCAGTTACTGAGGAGTTACTGTATACAACTGTCAGACTGATATTCAGCAATGGTAGGCAAATAAACAAGATATTAGGAGAAAGAAATTGAGAGTAACACAGAAAAGAACCTGATGCAATTTATAAATCCAGACTTGCAAACTTGCCCTACATTTTGAAGACTGTCTATTGTTCTGGTAGGACTTGGAAAAGGATATTGCATAGATAAAAATAATAGCAATATATATATGACCAAAGATAAGAAATGGCTTCCTCAGAAAAGAAAAATTAATAACTACAGATATTATAGCTTAGATAAAAAATAATTTGTAGGATATAATAGATTATAAAATCATTAGTCCCATGGAAAGAATTAATATGGGATGATTCTTTCCTTTCTCTCACAGTATAAGGGCTAGGTTGTTTAAAATGACATTTGCAGATGGTAGGTTCAAAATCAAGAGAAGTGAAAACTTTTTCACACAGTGGTGATTAAACTGTGGAGCTTGTTGCCACAGGATAATCTAGACTTATGAAGCTTAAGTATTAGGAAAAAGTCTTAGAAAAGTAGAACAAGCCTGACTTACTGCCCAATTTACTCAAGAGTTATTAGTGGTTATTAAGTGCAAAGACAATCACACTGGGCTCGGAAGGCTGTGAAGTAGGGGCTGCTAGTACCCCAGAGGATTGTGCTGAGGAGCATCACAGCATTCTTATCAAAAACCTTTTCATTAACTTTTTTTCCCTCTAAGTAACTTGGACATTGTCAAAGACAAGATATTGCTCTACGAGACCTTTAATATCAACCAAGAGTGGTGTTCTTATGTTCAATGTTGTGACCCATTTTATAACACACTCTATAAGCACAAAGAAGTTTCTCTCCCGTGGAGTGAAAACTAATCTATGTATTTGTGATACAAAAATGCATTTATTTTGCTGGTACTTGTTATGGAACAGGAGCTGCTATCCCAGCAGCAACTCCCACTCTGCTGAGATTTGAGAAAGGCAGGAGAGACATTAGATACATAGCTAAACTCTACCTCAGTCGAACGTTAGCTACATGGAGTGTTTACCACTCATGATAGACACAAGGCCTGGGATGCTGCAGAGGCTGGAGCTGCACATGAGGAACCCATGTGTGTATGTGCACCTCTCACGGAAGGCTGGTGAAAGCACCTCAGTCTGTACCAGTTCAATCTCACCACTCCTACAATTTTCGAAGTGGCCAATATCCTAGGCAAGCATGTAAGTTTTGCACTGAAATGTCAATCACTGCTACCACATGGGATGCAGCCCTGCCATGTTTTGCTGTCTCTGAGTTGGTATCTAGCCTAATGAAGGGAGGTGTCTAGATTGTTCCATCCACAGCAGACAGAAGTAGGTCCTGCCCCATGATTTCTCCCAGCCTAAGGTGGGATGAGAGAAAGGCCAGAGCTATGATTCATCAGTTTCTGATGGTGCCTGTCTCTTTGCACAGCAGTTCCACTGGAGACAAGGAGCTTTCAAACCTTTTTAGCATTATAGTTCTGTTGTCTTTGTTATATAGTTAGCTTGAGTTCAAGCTATACTATTTTTATGCATTTTTATGTAGATGCTCTTGTTCAAGATATCTGGAGAGGAGCAATGTAGATAAATTAACTCTACAGTGAAAACAACTTCTATAACATAGCTGTCAGTCTGCCAACAGTGAATCTCTGTGTAACATTGATTATTTAATATTAAACATCTGTTGAAGTCAAATGTTACCAGTTGCAACCTTCAAGGCTATTTAAGATGTATATGTGTGCAATCAATGCAGGAGGTGGTGAATCTCTGCCCAGTCCAGAAGCTATTTTAGACAGATTAGTTCAGGACTGTATGCAAGCGAAGTCCAAACGCTTACTTGTATTCTTAGTTTTTTTCTTAGCAGTTGTAGGTAAGGTAAGTAATTGCTGAGAGTCCTAGATAATTGAGAACTTCAGTTACAATACTAGAAATAAGGATACTAGAAATAAGAGTATGATAGTATATGAACTGGCTTATATCTGACACAGAGACTTTGTCTGGTTTTGTTAATGTCATAATACAGCATTCAGCCTTTTAACATGTGAATTAAATTGAAATCTGTGTAGTATGGGAAATCCAAGTGTGATAGTATCATATCTTCTGGTGGAGGTGTGGGGGGAAATTTATAAGGTGATGCTATACTAACACCAAGCATTTTAATATACTTATAAGGTTTAAAATATTTATAGTTATCAAAAGTATTGTTATAATATTTTCAATGAAAAATATATATAGTATTTAAGTCAAAATGATAAATCTCAATTGTATTGTGGGATACATTACCATTATAACTTAAAATGAATATATACGTTAGTTTTGTTAGAGAAAGGGGTCTTTTTGATGGATAGAGTCACCTCTCCTTTCTCTTGCTCCTGCTAAGTGAAAGACATTGTGGATATGAAATAGAAACCTACCATTAAAATGCCTGGCCTCTTTGAGGGATCACTTGTTTAACTTCTGTCATGCAAGCATAATATCCCATACCTATCCCATGCTTGTTTAAAACTTTAATGGGATCTTCAGAAAGACAAATGTGAGAACAAAAAAAAAGAACAAGCCTGACTTACTGACTAGACTTTGTCTAGAAACCAACATGGAGTCTGATAGGGTGTTCATATTAACAGTAGAACTATGTTATTTCAAGCTGTAGCATATATACCTCACCAAATAAGGGGCCAGCCAACTTGATGTAAAAGAATAACCTGCCTCTGAGCAGAACTTATTAGCTTGGGCACAGTTCCACATTAGCAAGTCCAAACAGTTTTTTGGGTTGAATGTATCTTCCATTTGCAGCTTAGAAAATGAGCTAAGCTATTCCACAACTGTCTCCACCTGACTACATAGACATGCCTTCATAGTGTGGCTTGGACCATGGCCCTTTTCCAGCTTGCTGACACAAGTTGGCTGTCACCTACTTAGCAGATGGTGGGGAGCAGCCACAGTAAGCTGAAATCAGTATCTATATTGATATGAAAATCATTAGATGACCATTGATAGCCCTCAAGAACATGCAACACATATTCTGGATTTCGGAGGTTTCTTAAAGAGTGTTTTGTGAAAGTAAATAGCTTTCTTTGCTTGCTTACTTTCTTAAAAAAACAGGGATTACTTGGGGGAGGGGAAAAAGAGGGATTGCAGTTAAAATTTCTCTGAAAACAGAGAAAAGGTAGAAACTCCTGCAGGAGTCATTAGCTCTGTGTAACAAACAATCTCCAGTGAAACACAACCTCTGCTTGGATAAAGTTTAGGAACTCTTCTCTGAAAAACCCATCTTCATCTTAGGAGCACCTATAGTCCAAAAAGAGATGGAACATCCTGGTCAGCAATCAGTCTGCAGGGCCCCTACCCTGGTGAGTGGCTGTGTTACACTGAAATAATCACTGTGATCCTAGGAGAATTTATAGGGACTATCCATAATCCTCTGTCTTATGGTGTGTTTTCTTCAGTGTCTTCTGCCCTAACCTGTCTTCTCAAAAGCCAAAGCAGTTTGGAATGGACATCTTAAATGTAGCATTATGGGGACATACCTCAGTGCATAATTATAGGGACATTTGTAATACATGACTGCATATAACGGAGACTATTGATGTTAGTCCAAAGCTAAGGAGGCTGCTTACACAGGAGGAGCATCAGAAAGCTGCACCTTCACTGCAAGTTCAGCAGCCAGAAAGATACCCCTCAGAGAAACAGGAAAAGAGAAGTGGGGGTAGAAAAGAAACAAGAAACAATTTATTGAACATATTGATTACAGTGTTGTATTGTGTATTTTGGTGGTGTAAAAGAAAAACAGCTTTTTAAATGCCTCATGAATGTTAATACTGATGGCCTCATAAAAGTAAATCTTAGTTTTTCTAGGGAGAACAGCACAAACACTTCTTTGCCACTTAAAGCTGAGGTTCATGTGAAGGATCATCACACAAGTCTTCACTTTTTATACCGTGGTTGTTCAATAGACCAAACATTTTTGGCAATGTGCCTGCTTACATGAGTGTGTCAATACTGTATTGCTTGTGTTATGTAACTGGGTACTGCAGCAGACCAACGAAGCAGTAAGCCTGAAATGTTCCAGAAGACCAACTGGGATTTCCCCTGCTGCTATTGTCACAGCATAACTGCTATTTTTAATTTAACCAGTAAAAACAAATGTACTTGTCTTCTAAGCTTAATGCCTGCTACTCAAAAAAGAATTCAGGTGGTGCTAGTGGGGTTTTTAAACATGCTATCTTTTAAACATGCTACTTCCAAGCCCAATAGGGAAAAAACTAGGAGACCAAATAGTAAGCCATGTCTGTGTAAGGTAGTGTTGTGATGTTTGGGGATGGGGGAAGTACCTGGCTGTTGTGTGAAGATGGCACTGTATTTGTATAACCTAGAAATGAGTTTAGCCAACAAACTTAAGGGAATGCATCATAAAATGGTGGAGAGGGCAGCCCTCTTGTAACAACCAGTTACATCACTCTGAGAACCAGAATGCCTTGGTTTCCACTTGGTTTCTGGTGTTGTCCAACTCGCACATTGAGTGCCTACTTCTGCCAGATACTAAATGTCTTCTGACCTAGGTTCTTGTCTATTCATAATCTTGCTGTGTGCCCTTCACCTGCTTCAGCCATTCTTCAACTGTCCATAGTCACATTTTGCTGATTTGAAAGCTAGAAGTTATGCTGAACTGATTTTTGCTAGGTTTAAAGCATTGTATACATTCTTACCCAAAGTCTTAAAGTCATTTTTTTTGAGAATGTTGTTCCAAGAAGATATATTGTCATAATACTTTTCTCGAGTGGTAATTGTATGCTGCTGTGTGGACCTCTACAATAACATAAACCCTATGACGAGTATCTGCAGAGTGTATATTCAGGATAAATATACAAAAGAATATCTGCTGTACTATGACTGTGTGCTGAGAAAAGGGCTCAGTAACAATGAAGTGTAAAAAGTCATACATTAATCATGTATGAAGCTGGGTTCCTGGACCTTGGCCCAGTGTACCGTTCCTTAGGCCAAAGGGTAAATCTGGGAGAAAAAGAGAAATTTTAACCATGTCTGTGGTTGCTAGAGTCCTAGTGCTGAATATGGAAGCTAACGTATCGCTGCTCCAACTAAGAACGGCCATGCACAACCACCCACGGAATCGAGAAAGAGCTCTCAATCTGCCAATCCTGCCTGTGTCCAGCCAGGTGAGCTTTCCCGTGTTGAGTCAAATTATCCACAGGCTGCATTCCTGGTGGTGCCCTTCTGTCAGTTCCTATACACAACCAAAGATGCACAGAGACGTTTGGGAGGAAATAATGACTGCTTTTGCACCCAAAGACTTATCAAGTGACTAACAAGCACTGTGTACCTGTAAATAATGGTTTACCAGAGATACATAATTTGTTCCATGATTTTCATTGCCCTTCCATCACGATCTTCAGCTCCAGTCTTGATAACCCCAGTTCCTTGTTTAGATATTGCCTCTTCCCTACCTCCTCCCTGCCTCTCAGTCCTAATGTCTGCCAGTCATAAATTCTTGACCCAGTTTTCCCTTCTTTCCACAAAGCTCCAGTTCCTCTTTCTACCACTTATTTTCAGCAGTCTCCTCCTATATTGGTTTCATTCATTTGTACCTGTGTTTGCATCA